TGATCGTGGACAAACAATAGTAGTTCCAGTCATGTGATAGTTGGCGTTTTTCTGGAACAGGAAACAGTCTATAAAATGCACATAATAAAACACAAGCTATTGTCCATGTTTCTCACAATTCAGTGATTAGTTTGCATGAGCTCAGACTGTGTCTGCAGTAAAGTAATCAGTCCGATCATGACAAATACCACATTAGGCTTCTTTTTTAGAATGCTAAGGATTCATATAATCAGGTAAAATGGAAAACACTAACATTTCAAAGCCAGAGCAAATACCCAAATTAGTTTAACATCAAGTTATATCACATTCACCATAACAATAAACATAACTATGGCATTTAATATTCTTTCTAATTCAATGAGACTAGTAAAGTCCACACCGCATCTATAACAAAAGGAACATTATCATTGGAATCCCTTTCAGGATATTTTTTTTTTCCAGTTGATGAATGATAAAAACACTTGACAGCCTATCAGAATCCACCTGACTATAAAGAGCTTGAGAATTTAAAGCGGCAGATGACAGAACTGCAGTACACACTTATAATAAACACAACATTAATGCACATTTGTGTAGTAGACATTAATGTTTTAACGTTATCTTTATAGTTATCATTCTTGGTGTGAGCGGGCCTTTACAACAAAGAGATTAAACCTGTAGATGATAACAATTGCATAGTGATTAATATTTTCAATTTGGCATGTTTAGATATTTTTATTCATAAGAAAGTGATCTTTTGTGCCACTTTTGGTTAGGAATGCAAACAAATAATTTGGAATGTAATAGGAGCACCGTGACCGCCACTTCTCAATGGACCATTTACTAAATTGATACTAAAATTATACTAAAATTATTAAGCGAAAACAAATCCACCGTAACAACATGGAACAGCCCTTTTTTTTAGTTCAGTGGAGTTTCAGGAGATTGAGGCCATCGGGCTCATTTATTGACAGTGCATTATGTCCAGCAGGTAGCTTTTAATAATTAAAATCCTTATCCCACCCCATCTTAGTTGTCCCGCAATCAGTCTCCTCACCTGCTAGAAGCTGAAAACGAGGGATAAATGTTATATTAATAGCACTGTACAGGTAAAGAGAACAGGTCAGGTTAATCAAGGTAAAATCACATGCAGTCCTACTTAATTCAAAATGTTTGTCTTATAACCCAGGATTTGATCTCTTTTTGTCTGTGACCCCATTGTGAGATTTTATGTTGGCCTGATTATTAAAACTGAGCTGTAAATGCTGCTGTGTCAGACAATATGTGACCCACAAAACCAGTCTTAAGTCGCTGGGGTATATTTGTAGCAATAGCCAAAAAACATAGTATGGGTCAAAATTATCGATTTTTCTTTTATGCCAAAAATCATTAGGATATTAAATAAAGATGTTCCATGAATATATTTTGTAAATGTCCTACTGTAAATATATCAAAACTTAATTTTTGATTAGTAATATGCATAGCTAAGAACTTAATTTGGACAACTTTAAAGATGATTTTCTCAATATTTAGATTTTTTTTTGCACCCTCAGATTCCAGATTTTCAAATAGTTGTATCTCGACCAAATATTGTCCGATCCTAACAAACCATACATCAATGGAAAGATTATTTATTCAGCTTTCAGATGATGTATAAATCTCAATTTCACAAAATTGGCCCTTATAACTGGTTTTGTGGTCCAGGGTCACATATATAATCTGCATTATACAGCAGACATTAGTGTGTATTACATTGTTATGATGAGCTTGGTTAAGTCCTGGGCTGTTTTTGTTGCTGTTTGGGGAAATGTGAAATAGGGGTGTGGCGTCATCATCATGCTGGAAGGAAGTGGAGATCAGTGGCCAATTCCATAAACTACTTAGACTAGTCTTACAAGTTCGTCATCAATTTTTTTCTTTAGAACTGGTCATAACTTTTACATCAGTTACATAAATAGGAGTATGGTCTCCTTTGGTTCAAAAAAGTAAGTCTGATTAATTGCTACTGATTGCTAGTTGCTTAAGACACAGTCTGAACATAGTGGCTGTTTATGGAATTGGCACAATAGCTGGTTCAAGTCGTCATTAGCTTTAGACACCTACATATGCAGCTGCTATCTAAGGCAGCATCCTAACGGAAATTGACCTCATTAGTGGCTGCCATGATGCCTTTGTGGTGTAAAACTTGTTGTATATATTAATGTATCACAAAATCAGTGGATTTTCAAAGTCCATGCATGCTTTTTGAGCTAATATTGGCCACATCCCCCTGTGCAACATTTGTGGGGGGAAAAAGACGATCCTCATGCGAGGGAAATCCTTCCTGAAATATAAAGGCAGGTGTATGTTTTCAATTATCAAAACCCATTTATACTGTGTTAGAAAAAGAGTGATATTATAAAGACATGTCATGTTTGTGGTGTGCATATTTGGGAGCAACAGTGTGCTGACTTTTTGTGTTTTAATAGGCAAAACATTGCAAATAAGAACCACAAGAGAATCTCTACTTTAAGATAAACACAGACAAACCCGTGCATGAACAGTGTACAAACACACCCACAGAAGTTTGTTTTACTTGAACACGACCCCACCCACCAAAACACACAATCAGCAGTGAACCTGATGCATGAAACATTAATAAAGACGCTAACATATATAGACATATCCATTTATCTGTTCAATAGTTCAACTGAAATAAACATGCAGCACAAAAGCATATGTGTTTAATTGATGGCTGCATCTCATTTTGTGTTTGTCTAGTGAAAGTGGGTCAGTGTGTGAGTTTGGCATGCACAGGAATTAACCAATCACAGCCTGGCTCAAACAATCAAGAGCCAATCATGTGGCTTTGCTCTGGAGCCCTGGATAATAGACGGCTCCGTGTTGAGTGAGTAATGACGGTGATTATTCATAACTGGCAGCTGAGAAGGAGACATGTGGTTGACTGCAAGACAAAAAGAAAGTCTTAAATTCCCTGGAAACCCTTTATATGGTTTTGTTGTCAGAGCGCGATTACTTGTTGCATCTGATTGGCCTCCATGATGCGATTTGGTGTGAATTGTATGATATATTGTAATTCAATGCTACACTTTGTCTCATATGTATATCACTTACCTCTTTCCACTGAGGTAATCTACCTATTGTGTTAACGGAGGGTAAAAATGACCATGTTACACTGAGTTGATTGTGTGTGCACACCTGTGCTACTGTGTGTGGAGTGGGTGCGTCTGGATGATCTTACATTGTTGTGTTAGTGAGTCTGACAATAGACATTCTACAACCACACACGTGCACACACACACACACACACACACACACACATGCATGGTCACACAGAGCTCTCATTCTTTTCACCCAGAGAGTAAAATGTCTCCATTACACGTTAATCTGCTCATTAAAGCCTCTCTCTTTCAGTGCTGGTCTTTCTCTTTCATGAAAGATTCTGTATGTATGTATGTATGTGTGTGTGTGTGTGTGTGTGTGTGTGTTCCCGTGAGTGACTGAATCAAACCCAAAATCCTGAGACACGAGCAAACACTCTACCTAGCAGTAAAATCTCTTAAAATTAAATAAAGTAAACAGTAGAATTTAACATCTTCTGAAGAAAATGTGAATGGCGCTCGCCATGCTGCTCACAAACCACAATGCTAGGGTCTTTTGAGTGTTGTTTACTGTCCCAAGTCCACCCTAAATTCACCTCCAGTCATATTCTGGTCTCTATATGAGTCCTTCCCTAGTAACAACCCAGAATAACCTATTAATCACCTAGCATTATGCGAAAAAACACCTTAGCAAGTACAATCACGCATAAAATCCACAGGTTTTCACTCACAGTTTCTTTTGTGAATGTAAAAATGATGTATTTTAGTGTTGTGTTCTTGATTTTACTGTTGGTGTGTTACTATTTTAGTCTGGGATAATAGGGCAGTGAGACTAGTGAGATGAGAATAGTTATAGCTGCTTAAAAGTAGGTTAACTTTTAACTGTGTACAAAAAACAGGAACAGAGAGAGACCAGCATTGTTGTCTGAAAGACAAACCGAGAATGGTTTTAAGTGTTGTGTGTGTGTGTGTATGGCTATCACCACACAGGAATGCTAGAGATTGCTGTGGGTTTCTCGTGATGTTTTTGTGTGTAAGTTCCCCCTCGAGATCTAAGTCTGTGGGAATCAAATTTATAATTGCAGTGGGTGGGATTTTTGGTTATAATATTGTGTTCAACATGAATCAAGAGTCCATTTAAAGGGAAAGTTCACCCAAAAACCAAACAGTTGCCAGTGCTATTGACTTATGGGGGGAAAATACTATGAAAGTCAATGGGGACCAGCAACTGTTTGGTTAAGAACATTCTTCAAAACATCTTTTTTTAAGCCTTTAAGAATTACAGTTTCTAATAGGGCTGCATGCCATTTTGACATTTATCAAAATACCTCAAATTTTCAAATCCCAATATGCATATTGTATCGGGTTGCGATAACTGAATGGTTTTACTACTTCAAAGTTTTAGTTCAATGCATATAGGAATAGACTATGCATGCAACTTTTTACTTGGGGTATTTGTGTGAATGTGTGCATATGCAAGTCTATCAACAAGCGTTGTGATGCTCAGAAATTGTTGTGACACTCTCTTAGTGAACTATAGTCAGTAAGCATTGCACGCATCTGAGGAAAGACAATAGAGGGAGGTAGAGTAATAAACAAGCTTGCAAACTAATTTATTACCAAGTTGAGCAAAGAGTTGGTAGTGTTTAATAGTTTTTTTAAACATTGATATTAAAATGATGCTTTATGTAATGCAACAGTAAAACACTGCGGTTTGCTTTCAGAAGTTGTTTGTGATGCTTTCTATTCCCACACAGAATGTGAAACACATGTTGGTTGCATCATTTTTTTTAGTTTTTCAATTAATTTAAATATAATTGAAACTGATTTTGCATATTACAGTATTTACCAAGTTATGGCGTATTGTAGCTTTCTTCAATATCGTGCAGCCCTAATGTCTAACCACCTTTTATCTTTCAGAAGATTATCCATTCTCCACTGATGTTTTACCGCCACTCCCGGAGGTCCCTGCTGGAGGGCCGGTCCTAAGCCCAGCGGGTCCCATCAGAAACTCTGCTCTGAGATATTGCTCCTCACGCAGCATGGACTCCACGCACTGCAACGAGCGGCCGGTGAGCTACGGCTCCACGTCTTCATCCGCCTCCTCCCGTGACAGCCACTGCTCGCTGGGGGGGCGGCCGGTATTAGGCTCCGCCCCCGAGAGGGATCATGATTCTGGAGCCATCCGACTGGAGCTGGTGCCTGCCCAACAGCTAGAGGAGGAGGAGACGGGACGACAAACACCTACACTGACCAATCAGAGCCATGCAGATATTCAGTCGCCGGAAGGACGTAAAGTCCAGTATGTGGACCGAGTGGTGGAAGAAATTCTTGAAACGGAAAAAACCTATGTCCAGGACCTTCGCAGTATAGTCCAGGTGAGAAAGACACAAAGCATGTGTGGTCACTTCCGATGGTGACTTACAGCAGATTGCTTACTCAAGGAAACTAATCACAACAAACCAAAGTTAAAGGAATAGTTCCCAGTTTTTATTGACAGTCATTTTATATTTTATTTTAATGTGTTGTTTTTAAATCAGTTTTTGTATTTTGAGTTTAGTCAGTTACATTTAGTCAATATGTGACTAAAATGGCATCTTATTTTAGACTAACGTTAGACTAAAATATAGGTTTTGGTGAGAAATTGCTAAATTCAACCCAATATTTTAACATTGTATATAAAAATGGTCTTTGTTGGGAATATCTCAAAAAACAATATTGCTAGTGCATTGTTAATATCTAGCATTGGATGTTGTTGTTTTTTCTTGTCATATTTTCATCAACAGTATGGTTTAATTAAATTTACTGCCATAATGTTTCTTTTTTTTTTTTTTGCTTCATTATCATGAAATCAAAATCCCTTCATTAACAAACATTTTCATCATGACTTGACATTGTTGAAAAGATGAATAATCATTTATTTATTGCTATGTTTCAAAGAATGTTCGAGCTGCTCTTTCCATACATTGCAAGTGTATGGTTATTCATACTGTCAAGCTGCGAAAAGTACAAAAAAGACCATAGAAGTATTAGAAAAGTACAGTAGACCATATAACGTGCTACGTTTTCTAAAGTCATGATAACTTCATGTGAGAAAACTTGCAGTGTTGTGATTGTAAATGCAATAATCAATGAAGTTTGGTGTCACATCAAACCTGATGTATATAAAAATTCAGCCCCGGTGTATTATAAAACGTAAGACATAAGGACTACTTTTATGTTTGTTTTTACATCATTATAGATCTTGATAGCATCTGGTTCAACATATAACTTTCTTCAGAACATTTCCTTTTTGTCAGGTTTTTGAATGACAGGATAGTAAGTTATGACATAATGTTTATTTTTGAGTGAAGTGCTTTGCTCAAGGAAACAAATAGTAGAGTGTCCAGTGTATGGCTTTCCCATTCTTGAGCTCAAACCTTGAACCTTTGTGCTTAACCACCACCACTCCCCACAAACCACGACACTCCAACTACTGACGCTCTTTGAGTAAGAGGCATGTGTGTGCGTTTCTTTGTGTATGATTTATGTAGCTGTCAGATGTAAAGTGCACATGGCTGTCATTTGACCTATAGCGAGCGAGGAGATGAATGCTAAACTCTTCCTCTCACCCTTGCCCTGATTTTCTCACTCTTTCTCGGTTAATGTGGGGACAGAGTTTAAGGGGGTCGCAGCCCCCCTCCCCACCTACTCCTCCATACAGACACATTCACAGCCCCCCGGCTCTGAGAGAATGATAGATGGTCTGAGGAGAGAATGGAAGAAAAGGAAAGCAGGCGGGATGGATGGAGAGGACAGATAAAGGAGAGGAAAGAGGTTTAGGAAAACACCGTTTTGTTAACACATGAGACTGTTGAATACATGAAGGCAACATATTCTCGCTTTACATTTATTGTCTCTTAGTTACAACATATTTGTGAGCTCAAGGTTGTAAATAAGCCACTTGGCCATAACTTGGTTAGTTGTTAAAAAACAACTAACTAAAATTGTTTAGTTGATTATTTCATGCATTAAAAAGACCATAGTCATATGGAGTTACTTGAAGAAACTGACTTTGAAGAAGACCCTCAAAAGTTCACTGTGACACTTCATATCAACTGAGACGATCTAGATTATCTGACTGGAGTTTATGGGATGCTTGTGGCCTCAGGTGCAACCACAGCAGGACTCAAACTACTGCTATCATTTGACCCAAAGGCAGACTAGACCACATATACAGGGAGAAAATGTCATGACCTTTAAAGGTTATTCATGTGAAAGAGCGTCCCCCAGTTTCCAGTAGCTCTTGGGGTCTGTTGGGGTCACAAAGCCGGAGCTCTTTATAGATCACAACATCGCTTTATTGCACTTTGTCTGTACTTGAAATCACTTCTTTACGTTGTTTTCGACAGGTTTGAGATGATTGATATGTGTCAGCTGATAGAGATTCTGCTGTATAGTGCTTGTTACCTCAGTATATCTTCACTGTTACACTCTTACAGTGTTTCAGTTTCTGTGCTCTTTAAAACACCAGCACATCGGTATGTTTCTACAGAACTAGAGCATGAAAAGCTCATTGTGAAGTGTTTTATTCCTGCAGCACCAAACAGAACTGCAGTGATACTTGTATCACAAGAATATCACAGAAAACTTTATTTTGTACCCACAAATATTACCCCCAGTTTGCATCCTGGTTATGGTAAATACCATTCTTTTGATGCTTCAAAGTGTCACTCCATAAGTACATAACTGACATAAGCGGACATACTGGAGCTAATCTGCCGACGTGGAAATGTTAATGTAAGGTGTGAGAGTTGAAAGCAGCAGATCTGTCTGTCCAAATACGGCACACCCTGAACATCATAAATCCAGTCAGAGGACGGGCGGTCCGTCTCACATGATGCTGCTGATGAGATTATTCATCCTTTCATCTGTTTCTCTACAGGATTACCTGGAGTGCATCAGCAATCAGTCTCTTCTGCTGTTGGGAGATGAAGAGAGGAGTTCTTTATTTGGAAATATCCATGAGATCTACCGTTTCAACAGGTACACAGACACTGTTCAGTTCCTGTTTGTTTCAGTGACAAAAACATCTCTTCAGAGAAATGTAATGGATGTTTTTTGATTTATATATATATATATACATACAGTAGTCAACATTTGAAGTGGATAAAAAACCGTTCATCAAAGTCGTCCTAAAACCAAAACAATACCCGTTCTTGTCTTAGGACAACAATGATCAACTTTTTTGATCTGCTTCAAATGTTGACTACTGTGTGTATATATATATATATATATATATGTATGTATGTATTTATCAGCTCACATATGTGATTT